GACACCCCTCATCCCAGCCCCACACCACACACATACCACACATTAATGGCATCTAAATAACACAAGGTTCTAACTTTTGGGGGGAGCCTCGTGGCCTAGAGGTTAAGGTGTTCGCCTCTCATTCAAAGGTCCCGGGTTCGAATCCAGGTTGCGACCCAAAAATTTTCTTTTAAAAAATTGTCTCCTTTCACCTCCTTTCCTGCTCTATAACAATGTTTCGTCTCCACTTTCTGCCCTCACCTCCTTTGCCCCCTCCTCTGGGCTCCTGACTCTTTCTGCAGCCTTTCTACTGCTTCTCCTTGGCTAATTCTTACTGCTGTCTCTCCGCTACACCCCTGATCTTCTGGTAGAAAAGATCTACACCTAGCCTTCTCGGATAACGGCGAAAAATGTCGGAGGTCCCGTGTGCAGGTTGCGCACATAAAGATCCCTTGGTGGTCTAAAACCGTAGGCTTTGGCCGCCACGCAGGCAAAATTCAAAATTTCCTACCCACTGAAAATGTTTGGTGTGTCCTGCGCGCTCATATGACCTTATGCAGTTGCGGGCGCCGTAAAACACTTACCAAAACAACATAACTTTTTTTCCTGTCATTTTCTTATTATTTATAATCTTGTAAGCAGTGGGCAGAAAACTTCAACTATATGCCAGCCACAAATGCTGCACCGTGATGATGCCATCTAGTCCTTTATTATTTTTGCAGGCAACACAAAGCTTTTGACTTTTGTTTGTCCAAATGTTTATGTATGCAAACAAACATGTAGACATCACTGGTGGTGTTTGCTCCTTCTTTCCTATCAAACATCTATCATCCTTATACCCGCGCCTTCTTTTCTTGGTATATTTTTTTCCAGTACACCTCTAATCTTTAGTACTTTATGACCTATTTGTGTTGCAAATGCCATAAAACTCTTACTAAAACTGAACTAAATGGCAGTTATAGCTAGTGCCAATGTGTTTTTGTTTACTTAAAGAAAAGTAATAAAAAGGTTGAGTTAGAGAGAGAAAGTGAGAGCCAGTTAAATGGGGCTTTATGCAACATGCATTAAGAGGAGAATTAGAGGGGACATGTGGGTGGTTTATGGGTGCTCTTGTGTGGTTTGCTCTTTTTTTTTCTATCAAACTTCTATCGTCCTGATCTCTCCTCCTTTTTTGTGCTGTTACTCTCTTGAAACACCTCTAACTTTTAGCACTTATATGACCTTTATTCTACATGGCATTGGACAGAAGGGCGAGAGCCCAGATGTTGCTGGATCGATAACAACATATGACCTTTATTGAGTTGCAAGTGCCATAAAACTTTTACAAAAGCAAAAAGAGGGAACAACATTGTCTCTTGACTAAGGTGGCTAGGAAAGTTTTCCTGGAGGGGCCTAGTAGTGTCTAGTAGTTTGAAACAAACCATCTCGACTGCTTAGTATAAGACTCTCACCATACACCATTTTGAAAAGTGATGTATTGTGGAGTCTTATACTGAGCAGTCGATTCTGTTCTCACACCTCTTCCGCATGCACCCCCCCTGGGCTGTGCCACTGACTGAATTGTCTTTAGGCCTTTCCCAAAGGGGGAATATTAACATGTTCTTATGCACAGTAGAATTGTTAATGGGCTGATATATCAATGTCATGCTCATACTGTTCCGGAACAACATAGGAGGAACTGTTGCTTTTTCTGTCCTCTTCCTTTCTATCGTCATTTGTCCTCTACTTCTCTTGTATGTTTGTTACTCTCTTGTGAACTGCTATTTCTGGGGTGCCTTGATAGTCGAAACAGACTTTGTGCTGTTGAGGCTAGAAGGGTGAGCAGAGTAAGCCTAATTCCTCGTTTGGACTTCTCTGTTAACATCCATCCCTTGGCGCTCATATGACCTTATGCAGTTGCGAGCGCCGTAAAACCTTACTAAGACAAACAAACAGCCTCTCTTCCTGAGGCTATGTTATTAATATATCTTGCTGTCTTAACAGACCGTGTTTTCCATTGAAACTGCAGTGATCGTAGGAGCTGTCCGAAATGGAAGTCACTGGAGCCTGTGGTGTAGCCGTCAGGCTCTTTGCGTTTGCGTGCAGAGTAAATTAGTTTAATTCGTGGGTGGAGAAGTTTCCTATTGAGCATCTCCAACTGCCTGTTGGGATGTGCTTCCTTCTCAACTGGGGTTTGTCATGAAAATGAAATGTACGGTTGAAGCAACCTACTAAATTATCCACATTGTGTTGATCGAGGCATGAAACATTTATATTTACTTTTTTGTACTGTTAACGAAATCCCTTTTCTTTGCCTGTTTCAGCTAGTTAATCACTCTGCTTACCACTCAGAATCTCATGAAAATGCACACAGAAGTGTAACAGGCTTGAGTCTTGCGAGCAGTTTTTGAGGTGTCATGCTGCACAATTCACAATTCTGCCTTGACACTTGGGTACTGCTTTTTACAAGAGGTTCCTTTAGTACAACAGAAAAGAAGTAAGACCAACAAGTGACAGCCTCCAACTGCCCACTCATAGCAATGCAGTAACATTGTTGTTGTTGTTTGATGTTTTGTAAAACAAAGACTGTCACTGTTGTAGTATATAATATGTGAGGCAACGTTGTGGAATCAGGCTCTCGTCAAAATAATCAAAGTGAAGAAACTTGCATTTATCCGCAGGTTTTTGAATTTTTATAAAATTTTTGTTTCTTGGCTCAACACCTTTCATGCCCATTAAACACCTCATTTCTGTGTGGATTTTTCTGAAAAACGTTGATTAAAGGCATAAAAAATGTAAATTTTCAGTTACCACGTACTTTTAACTAAGGAAATAACTTATCTTTGGCGACCCCCTGGGGCAGTGCCACTGACTGAAGTGTCTTTAGGCCATTCCCAAAGGGGGGGCATTTCTCGTTCAAGCATAGTAGAATTGTAAATGGGCTGACTCATGTCACG